AGAAGCCCATCTGTTTTCCCAACCCCCTAGACGACCCAGTTGTCTGGCTTCATCGGAAGGGAGTGGTTGCTGATGTGGTGGAATAAGGTCTCCTTCCACTTCTGAACAAACAGCCACCCCTACTACGTCTTTTATTGTTTCCTCCTCTAAAGTTTCCTCTAGGTTGATAACTGAACCTAGCAGCTGGTCCTGTTCCCTTGCAAAACCTTCCTCTTTTAGATTTCCGAAATGTCTGAGGACTCCTGGGAACATTAATATTAATAGTTTTCTCAACAGCTGATCTATATTTAACCAATGATTGTTCATCAAACAAACCAGGAGAAAGAGGGGAAGAACGTACCAATAAATAAGCATTACCACTTGAAGCATTATTTGTGGCTTGCTTCCTTAGCTGGGCTTTTAGTTTTAGGGCTTTCAACAACATATCTAAGAATAAGTTGTACAGGGAATATGGGATCCCTTGTAAAGCAGCAGTGAAACATTTGTCCACTTCTGAATTTTCCCTGTAGTCCAGCACAAACTTAGTCAACAACTGACACATCATGATTGCAGACCAAATATCTGCTGCCAATTTCCTAATTTTAAATTCTTCAAGCAGCAGTGCAGGAGTAACTGGTTTCAAATTTCTTTTATAACTTATATCAGCATATTTTGGAGCCTACAAATACTGAGAAAGTTCATATAAGGAACTCTTTTTGTCATTAAATTGGAACTTCAAAAAACTAAACTTGTGAGATTCCTGTCTGCTGGAATGAATGTTAAGTCTTTCAATACATTAGCCCAGACTTCGTCTATTTCAGATATCATTTTGGCCAAAAACAATGAATGATGACCCACAGTTGCCTGTCCTTCCTGTCTCTTTGTAAGTGCTGAGAGATCAGGAAGTTTAGAAACATTTTCATAAAATACCTTGAATAAGGAATCCACAGATTCAGATGTAGTAGAAAACAAAGAAGACTTAGATCTTACCAATGTTATCCAAGGCCTGTTGGGATCATCCTTACACTCAATGTCATCCATCAGCTGCGTGGCAGTTGACAGCAGCCTGTTTCCACTCATAGTAACCAACACTTTTGCCCCAGGTGGAAGTGGTTGCCAAAATGTGGATAGGATGAAGTCAGTCTCAACAGGTTCTCCCTGCTCAAGAGACTGAACACTATGATTAGAGCCAGCCTCATCATCCTGATCCTGGAATCCACTGAAATCAGCCTGACTAGATAGAGGTTTTTGTATACTTCCTACTGCCTCATTGTCTGGAAAATCCAATAACTTACTTTTCTTAGCAGAAGCAGGCTTGTCTAAGTGGGGATTAAGTCTCTTACCTAACACCAATTAACCTAAACTTTCTGCCAACTTGGGATCTTTCCATTGTTTTACATGTAAAAATTTACTTTTCAAGGCCTTATTCCACCTATTGTTAATTTGGATCTGCAATAATTCTTTCTTATCTCCTGTAGCCCTTTTTAAATTGAAAAATTTGATCTTAACAAACTGCACAATCAATTGGTGAAAACAGGTTATTTGAGACACAGCTGCCATGAATTATGCAAGACAAATGAGGATCTATCTTAGTAATCCAAGTGGCTCTACATCCTTGATAATTACATATAGTTAGGTACCTTTGGGTCTTGGGTGAAACTACTACTACTACTGAATTCACATTCTCTACTGACTGACAATTCCTTGTATGTAGTGTATGAGCTGAACTTATAGCTCATCACTCAATACTAGCTCCTTAGGGACAGTTCCATAGTCTCCTCCATCATCCATTAGAGGAACACTATGAGTCGCATTATATCAATATGCAGTAGAAGTCTAAAAATCCGGACTGCTTGGGGATTGGGTCGGTCCGGATTTTCGGATTTTCCGGATTCTCAGGCAGTACTTTTAAAATTCAAATTTAATGAAGAATAAAGAAGAAATGAACAGGTACATTTTGATAGTTTATTCATTTGCAAATATAGCATGCTTCATTTATCAAAACGAGCAGTTTTAATGAAAAAGCTGTGAATTCTAAATTTTATTCTTTGCCTTTTATATATCATAAATTGTAGACTTTCCAATGTCGTATGTTTCCATTAGAACAGTATTGCTCACACCACGATCTAGTTTCTTAATTATTTCAAGTTTGTCACTCAATTTCAATGTGTTCTTCTTTCTCTTCACACAACGAAGTTTATCTACTTTAGGAGCCATTATTATGGGCTTGTACAGTACTCTGTAAATGGAAAGAGTAGGACTCAAAATATTGTTATATTACAATGGTATTCTATTCATACTGTGCTTGATATAATGCATTCACGGAAATGTAATATTTTTGCTGAACGTACGTATTACAGTGGAAAGTGGGATAAAATCGTGATGAAAACAATGACTTTCGCTTTCTTTCGTTCAAAAGATGTTACCGTAATCGCTTTTCGAATGGTTTTCAGTTCAAAAACTGTTGCATTACAATAATATTCTATCCTAATTGACTTGAATAAATACTACGATACCATATTTCTGAATATTTTCATTAAAATCCATCAAAATCATTTTCCTTGTCATCGTCTGCAGCACCAAACAGCTTCTCCCAGTCCTCTCTTTGAACAGGGCTAGAGGGTACGTGTTTTTCGAATCGTTTTCAGTTAAAAAACTATTACATCACTCGTCTATTTTACCTAAACTGCGCATGAATGAATATATTCTTGGAGATAAATAGTAGTTTTGTGGAAACGTGACGTATTTCAATGTAAAATAGAATAAAATACATGACGAAAACAAAAGACTTTACCTAAGCTTCCGATGTTCTTGAGATGTTACTCGTTTTTTTAATAGTTTTCGGTTAAAATTCTGATATATTACAATGATATTCTATTCATACTGTGCTTGATATAATACATCCACGGAAATGTAATATTTTTCCTGAAATTACATACGTATTACAGTGGAAAGTGGGATAAAATCATGACGAAAACAATGACTTTCGCTTTCTTTCGTTCAAAAGATGTTACCGTAATCGCTTTTCGAATGGTTTAGTTTAAAAACTGTTGTATTTCAATAATATTCCCTCCTAATTGACTTGAATAAATACTTGAATGGAAATATACAATATTTTTTTTTAAACTACCCGGGTTTCAGTGTAAAGTGTCGTAATAATAAATGGTAAACAATTTGCCTTCAGCACTTGTGTTTCATGCATGGCGAGCCTCAGTTTATAGGACGTAGAGCGTTTTTAGTGGTTTTGTTGTTCCATTTCCCTCAAAAACGTGGGTGGAACTATAAACGAGGAATATCATAAATTAACGATTTCTTGGTCAAAAAATCAGGGTCGACTGATAACGAGGGGGGGGTTATAGACAAGTATACGGTATGTTGTCACAGTTTGATTGCCCATTTTAAAGTGGCGACCACGTGGTCGCTTGTTGTCGCTGTGCAGCTGTGGCGCTCACGCATGCGCACATGCACACAAATGCCCGCTAAAAAAAAAAATCGTTTTTGAAAAGTCCGGATTCTCAGGTGGTCCGGATTTTTGGACTTTTACTGTAAAAATATAAGGGAGAAAACATCTTCTCCCAAACCTAATCAATATGACTCATAATTGTTATATTATTGGTAAGTTAATTCATTAAGATCTCTTATTGTTATATAAGTCACTTTCTGGTGACCAGAGCACCCCAGAGAGTCTGAAAAAAGTGAATTTCGATATATTGAAGTCCCATTTATCGAGGTTTTACTGTAGTACTTTACAGTTATGTCGGTGAAAACAGTTGTTGATAACCAGATTTATGCCTAATTTGTTTTAAACAATCCAGATCCACCTCCCTCCAAAGATTTGCTTTTTTGGGACTTTTGCTTTTTCTGAACTGGGATCTTGCCCAATTAATTTGGTGTATTGAGGTATTACTGTATATATGAGGCCTATAGAATAGGAAGGTCAAACAGTAGCTGTGTCTGAGCATCTGAACTCTGTTAAACTTTAAGGCTGTAATACATGTGTTCTGCCCTTTTTTTTTATGAGGATTGTACCATACTGGAGGTGTATCCATGTTGTCTGACATCATTATCTGATAGAGGAATGCTGGGGCTATGTATTGACATAGAAAAAGGAAAATTTAGAAACCCAGTGATCCACCATTGCTATTGTAAATGCCTCATTTGGACACTGCAGTAAACTGTTAGTGCATCACTTTGAAATAAAAACCATTGTCTTGGCTGGGCCTTGTAATCTTGCACTACATCACAACCAGTGGCACATTTTCTCAGCAACCTCAATATCCTCCACAGTATATATTTCTATTACAGGTATTGCGTATTTTTTTATTGGATAACAATCGTTGTTTATACCATAAGCCTTCATTAAGAACATGCTTTGTAGCAATATAAGGAACCTATAAGCTTTTAGAATGGGAGACTATGAGAAAATGTTCTTTAAAATTTATGATTTTTTTTCAGTATGCCCCAGGTACAGGACTGTATAATAAAGTACCTGTACATTTCACTTTCAATGGAGTTTTGCTTTAGTGGAGACAAGAGAAGGTCACAGGTCATAGTATTGATACCTTCTTGTAAAATAAATAATTGTCCTAAGGGCAAACACATAAAGGGAATACTGTACAGTATACATTTCTTTGCACACGAGTAAAAATCCCAGTCAGCAAATGTTATTCGCGGATTTGGCTACTTGTGTTGCCATTTTGAGAACCTAACCCTCGCGAATTTTAAGGGCATGCTGTGTTGGGTAACCCTCATGCTGTTGGATGCTAAGAATCAGGTCATTACATGACCAACCACTTTACACCACAACATGGAAAAGCTTCTCTATGCTTGAATTTATTTTTATTTTTTTATAATACTACTTGTAGTGTATTTGTGCTGAGCTGCCATTATAGATTGAGCAGATCTTCACTTGTTCATCATCTCTGATTATAGGCTGAACTCCCTCCTACATACCAAATGAAATATGGCCTTAAGTCAGTTTTTTTTCTTCACAATACTTAATTGCTTCCTCTTCATTTCAGAGTCATTGATGGGTTAGATGTAGTTGATGAACTAGAGAAGCTCCCTGTCAACCCTAAGAACTACAAGCCCACCACTGAGACCAGGATAAACAATGTCACAATTCATGCTAACCCAATAGCAGGATAATTAATATATAACTGCTCTTTGTGATGCAAGTTTTAGATGATGATAGTAATGTCTTGATTTGGTTTGTAAGTTTAAAATATATTTATTATACAGGAATGAGAGGCTCAAGTTTAATTTTATTTGTCACATTTTATGTAATTTGAAAATTTAATTGTTGGCTTAGTGATTGTTATAAGTAGTGAATCACAAATCAAATTCAAATTCAAAACATTTATTGACAAATACTGCACATCAAAAGGAACTGGTTAGTATGCTAACTATAACTAGCCCACCCAAAACTACTCTTAACAAGAGCTCTTTAATATTGTACGTAATCATAAATCAGATATGTATACAACAAATAGATATGTATAAAATCTACAATCTTATTTTATACTTCCAGAATTTTTTCATAATAGTCTCAACCATATTTTTGATTTTTAAATAACAAACCATCTCTGTAATATCACCCCTAAATTCTGGTAAACAGTTACATTCCATAATGTAATGATATAATGTATGGAACTTTACATAGCCACACAGTTTACAAGGAATGCCATCAATTCCTTCAATACATTGCCAATAATATTTGTATCCAAAGCGTAGTCTCATCAAAAATGTATCATACTTAACTGAAGCTTTACTATAAGTAGAACTTATAGAATTCAAAACTCGAACATAATATTTCAAACGACTGTACTACTACCTGTACCGTTATTCAAAAATTTCCGAATATTGTCCATTTTCCATTGCTGTCGGATTTTTACCATTCCAGATTTTATTCTTTTAATTTCCAAAATACAATCGTATTCTACAATTTCTTTGCCACACCCTTGCTTAGCCAAATCATCATTCATATAAATACCACAATGGGATGGAATCCATATAAAACTTATGTCATGAATACATTTCTTTCATTTTAAAACTAAATCATCATCAAGAGGCTGGAACTTCTATCCCCAATTCTCTTTGATATTCTTTCTTCAACAGTAATACCATATTCAAAAAATTCCCTAATAACAATGCCACATCCGGCCCGATTCCCATTAACTGAACCATCACAGTACAAATGAATAACATTTTCCTTATGGTACTCAGATATTTTCTCAAGGAATTTTTGCTGTAACTTATAAGGATTACAATTTTTTTTTTTTTTTTTTTACATTTAGCTTATCCATTCTTACAGATACACTCTCCATGAACCAAGGTTTCAAGTAAACTTTTTTGGGCAAAGGCACACAAAAATCTACAATATTATATTCACACAACATCTGACAATTTTTTTTAGAATAAGTACAGTAAGATCTCATATTTCGCACAACTTCATTTTGCGTTTTTGAATTTCACGAGCACTGCTTAATGTAACCAAGTCTTATATTTGGCGTAAAATATCGTGAGTTTCGCAAGATCCAACCAGCTGGACGCTGTAATATTTTATGTTGCAGCATAAGTATGTTTTTTGATAACAGGCCAGCCGCACTCTCCCTCCCCCCGTGTGATGTCAGGGCATACAGGCAGCAGCCACGCACTTCTCTTGAGTCAGTTTCTTGACTGCCCGGATGAAATGTGTCGCCTTTATACTGTACCAGTACATGTGAAGAATACAGTAAATAAATATAATTATAATAAGTAAAATAAATATACACTGGGTTGTCATTTGGCAATCATTTCACGGGACACGAGACAGAACAGCTGGCCACTGTCTTGTAGGACGTCACAGCCCTAATACCAGTTACTCCCGTGCCATCCTGCCAACCACCCGGCTGCTATTGTGTGCTTTTTTGGTGGTGCTACCACCTGTCGAGTCAAGATATGGCCTCTACCTCTACTGGTGATGGTGGGGGTGAGACAGACCCACCTAAGCTGCCAAATAAGGAAAAGGAGAAGCAGGACTATCATAAGGGAGCTAAATTTCCCAAGTACTCGATGCAGGATAAGCAGTGTGTGATTAAGTTACTTGAGGAAGGCCTAAAAACTAGTGAGATAAGAAAGATTACTGGTTTTCCGGAAAGCGCAATCAGGTCAATAAAGGCAGAATTTGCATCATTTGGAGGTTATTAATGGGAAAATCAGAGGATGTAGTGTGGCCAGTCTATATTGTTATTTTTCTCATTAGTTTTTGTATTTGCATTTGGAGAATTTGAATTTGAAGCAATTTTTTCAATCTATATTACTCACGAAATACAAGATCTTACTGTTGTTACGAGTTGGGGATTTAGAATATAGTTAAAAGCCTACCCAGATCCCAACAGGCAACAACAACAAAAAAACAAAGACAATCGGACTATAAAAGGGTAGACAAAGGATGCGAGTTTTTGTTGTGTATAATAAAGTACCATAAATTCCTTAACAAAATATTCAGCTTTCTATAATTTACCCTTAACCATACTTAACCTAAACATTAACAGTATATACATATTTATACAACATAAACAATATTGAAGCAAGTGGACGTGGGGGAGGCAATATAAGATTACAAATACTTAAATGCGGAGCTGAGATGGCTGACGAGCAAGGCTGAGTATTGTAGACGGTGGTAGGTAGTCACTGTGCCGTAGGTTTCCAGGATAGGTGATCCTGTGATCACTTCCCAGAGTGAACTGAACTCTCCTCGAACTGGAGCTGACAAAGAAGACTTTGAGGAGGTGACGCAACAACCAGGATATGGAGAAGGGAAACCCAGGAGTGGTAACTAAGACGAGTCATACTCGTGTTTCGTCCCTAGATGGCGTGGTTCGTAGTGCTGGGTAGGTAGATCATGACAATTGGTGGCGGGGTTCGTAACACACCCCTCCTCCAAAGACCTACGTAGCGCGGGCGCGAAGGAGGTGATCACCTGGTGCGTTTGGAGAGTAGCTGCTGCATTTCCACTGGAGCTCGGGATAAGGAGTCCGCAATCATGTTGTCCACCCTCTTTATGTGCCGGACTTGTAGATTATAGGGCTGGGTGAGGAGAGCCCAGCGGAGGATTCGCTGGTTGGAGGTCTTGTTGGTTTGGATGAACGTGAGTGGGTTATGGTCGGTGAAGACGAGGGTTGTTTGTGGGCAAGACTGGAGGTAACATTCAAACTTCTTTATTGCCAACACCAGAGCCAGGGCCTCCTTCTCTATGGTCGAGTAGTTGGTCTGATGTTTTTTCAACTTGGCGGAGTAGTATGCCGCAGGGTGAAGGACATCAGTGGTTGGGTCGGGTTGTAGGAGCACAGCCCCCACTCCGACACCGCTAGCGTTGATTTGCAGATGGAAGGGCAAGGTGTAGTCAGGGGGGTGGACTACAGGCTTGGAGGCAAGGAAGGCTTTGAGGCGGTGGAAAGACTGGTCGCACCTCTGGTTCCAGATGTAAGGGACCGCAGAACTGGTAAGGTCTGTGAGGGGTCCGGCCACGCTGGAGAAGTTACTGCAGAACCGACGGTAGTAGCCGCACATTCCCAGGAAGCGCATGAGTTCCGTCCTGTCACGGTCGCCATTTGTTACGAGTTGGGGATTTAGAATATAGTTAAAAGTCTACCCAGATCCCAACAGGCAACAAAAAAAAAAAAGACAACCGGACTATAAAAGGGTAGACATAGGATGCGAGTTTTTGTTGTGTATAATAAAGTACCATAAATTCCTTAACAAAATATTCAGCTTTCTATAATTTACCCTTAACCATACTTAACCTAAACATTAACAGTATATACATATTTATACAACATAAACAATATTGAAGCAAGTGGACGTGGGGGAGGCAATATAAGATTTCAAATACTTAAGTGCGGAGCTGAGATGGCTGATGAGCAAGGCTGAGTATTGTAGACGGTGGTAGGTAGTCACTGTGCCGTAGGTTTCCAGGATAGGTGATCCTGTGGTCACTTCCCAGAGTGAACTGAACTCTCCTCGAACTGGAGCTGACAAAGAAGACTTTGAGGAGGTGACGCAACAACCAGGATATGGAGAAGGGAAACCCGGGAGTGGTAACTAAGACGAGTCATACTCGTGTTTCGTCCCTAGATGGCGTTGCTCGTGGTGCTGGGTAGGTAGATCAAGACAATAGATGGCGTGGTTCGTAGTGCTGGGTAGGTAGATGATGACAATTGGTGGCGGGGTTCGTAACACTGTATTCATCTTAAAATTACTAATAATTGCATTAGTAAATTTATCAACAGCAGACTTCAGATAACCATCACCATGCCTAATAAGCCTTAAAGTAGAAATGACAGTCAACTCCCTAATTCTGTGTATTATGCTTGGGACATTTCACTCCATCCTCATAATCTCTATTCTTGTTGTCCTTGGACAACCTAGCACAATCCTCATTGCTTCATTCTGAATAAGCTCTAATGACCTAAGATCTTTTCCTAAGTAAGAAGCTAGAACTGAAGCTGAATAATCATTGATACTCCTAAAATGTACTTACCCTAAGTACATAGATCTTAAAACTGGTATACCAACACCATTTCCTCTGTTTGACAAAACTTTCAGAGGTTTTAGCCGAGCTGTACAGTAACTAAAACAAATATCTGTGCATACTTTGCGGGAAACAATATGAGACCACGGACGATAAATTTTGGTATATGAGGGCTGTCACTAGTCATACGTAAAATTTCGGAGCATATCGACTCCCACCTGCACAGATAGTTGTTTTAGCTACTGTACATATATTTTTGACATAAGTAATTTGATCCCTAACAGTATTATTTGTACCCACAAACATCCCCAGATAATTGTAACTGGATATTTTTTGCAATTTTATTCCATTTAGTCAAAATTCTTTTCCATTTACTGCCCTTGACTGATATTTGGTTTTATTTTCATTAATGACCAGTCCCAAAGAGACACAAAGATACTGCAGCTGATCAATGACCCTAGACATATCTTCCTCATTCCTACATTGGATTAGAATGTCATCAGCATAAATGATTACTTGGGACTCGCCCTGGAATTTGTAACTAGCTATTCTGTCCATAAGAATATTAAAAATCATAGAGCTTAGAATGCCACCTTGTGGAGTACCCAGCCCTAGACCTTCAAACCAGACACTCTCTTTTCTGTTAGTTAAGTACTCTGTAATCCACATTAATAATTTCCCTTTTATACAGGTTGTACCTCTCTAGTCCGGCATTCTGTGGTCCGGAACGATTTTAGTTTGCCCAATAGGTAGATAGGCAGCTTCTTTTATTTTTTATTTTTTATTTATTTATTTTTTTTACTTATCTGAATTTTTATTATTATTACAGGAGTATTACATTTTCGCCCCTCAGGCTCCAATGTGGGTTAGTGACCTGTGCCCGGGTGGGCTAATCCCCGTAAAAAAAAAAAAACAAAGCCGCGGGAAATTAAGGTTTGTTTACATACGGCAGTTCGGCTCTCTCTCTGTGTTTGTCTATACAGTACAGAGTACA